TGTTAAAAGTCCATCACAATCAAAGTGATTGTGATTATATCAACAACAATACTTTTAAAAGATAATAGAAAACAATTTCCAATTGGATTGATCAAACAACGATGAACTCGATAAATTGCAAAATCAACAATAAAAGAGATAAATAGTGAGAGAGACCGAGATTTGTTTAGGCAGTTTCCCAATCGGCCTCGCTATAGGTACGTCTTCCCTCAATTCAAAATCAAATTGAGATATTGTTATTAACCTTTTCTTTTCAAAATCGTTTATACAAGAGATGAAGAATAAAAACCTTAAAAATCCTAGTGTTTTGTGTTGATTCTTCCACCTCCAACCCTTGATCAAAAGCTTGATCAAGTGACCAACAAATGCGGCTACAATCCTCTGATTATCCCGAGCGCACAACTTGTTGAAACCCAAGATTCCCGAACACAGTTCACCGTCTTGCGCTACTCCCTTGCAAGGAAACCACCTTGTCCTAAGGCCTTCACTTGGTCGAATATGTGTTGACGTGATCTTGTCCAAAACCTTCAAATCAACCCGATCTTGAAGGAAAACCCCACCTTGGTTTTCTTATTTGAAACATACAAAGTTCCTAACCCAATATTCTCAGTTACACTAAATCTAATTGAATGTTATCAACCATAATCTAGATTGTCACCCAATTTAAAAATGATTATATGTAGTTCAATTGTGTGTATGCATAGAAGAAGGGATGAAAATGATGGGCAACTTTGTAATCTGGTTTTGTTTAGGTTTTATTCACTAGGAAAGCTTACTTAGAGGAAGATGCATGTATGAGTATATATAGGTATGTGAAGAAAATGGACAAAAGGATGCAAGAAAAATAAGATGCAAAAAGGATTTTTCAATTTTTAAGTTGCATAGGTCGGCCTATGAAGGTGTTCAGGCCGGCCTGAAAGGGGACCTGTGGGCCGAACCTACATGCTTCGTTCTTGGAGCATGGTAGCCGACCTGAAATATGGATGTGTCAGTCTATACTGAAGTTGAGGTTTCCATAGGTCGGCCTGATCACGTATAGATCGTCCTATACAGTTATTTTGATACACAAACATAATTTTTGATGTGTATGACATGCCTAAGACCTATCAAACTTGTTTAAAGACTCTTTTTATGCATTCTAAGGCTAAGGGTACAAATGAGCATCTAAATGTAGGTTGAGATTGTCCAGTATAGAAAAGCGCTACAATATATTATACTGCCTTTTTCCTTGATTGACATCATTCAAAACCTGGTTGAATTTATAGTTAGCAATACTTAGCACTCACATACTCCCCCTTTTTTTATGATGGAAAACATATATGATGTAGTCGTAGCTTGTTGCGCTTATTTTGGTACACGGAATAACTCCCCCTGAATTTATGCATTGTTCTTGATATCTCCCCCTAAGTGTATGCATATATCATGCATAAATCATCCTCTTCATTATCTTCTCCTCTTCAACATCAAAAAGAGAGAATTATCTATTAGAAGCATCACGTAGATGCACATTACACAAATAACAAATACTATACAAAGGCAATTGCAATGAAAAGGAGACGCATTCACATACAACACATATGTAAATAGCAGAAGCATAATAATTAACAACAATAACATCCATAAGAAATACACAAGTCAATACTTAGTACAACAACGAAACTACTTAAAACATTGTTTTAACCATCAAGAAGTAGCAAGCAAACAACCATAATTAAGAAATGAAAAAGAGGACACATAATGGACACAACCAAAAAAAAGACACCAAATAACACGACATCATAAAATCCAGTCAATGCCTTATGTGTCCTCTCGCTCTTGGTCTTGCATTGAATGTGCCAATCTCACATAGCTCGCAGTAAAAGCTATCGTAATGATCTCCATCTATTTCCTGGGTATGAATAATATGATTCAACTGTTCCATCTCAGCAGTGTGATTCTCATCAATAGTGTTACGTAAGTTCACGAGGCTTTCCATTGTATAGGCAACAAAGGAATGGAAGTCAGCATCTTGAGTGGCCATGTGCTCACGGATTAGACAGAGTTGCTCCGAATGTGCATCATATCGCTCATCTTGCTAGACCTGCATATTTTTCAGCATGGTAATTATAGCAACAGTGCCGCTAGGACTAGCATAAGGACCACCAGCGTGACTAACTCCCTGATCCATATCTTGCATGGTTGCATCACCATCTGGAGCACCATGAGGAAACTTATCAGGATGCTCATTCTCCATCTGATTTTCTTCGACCTCATCAACATCCTCGTTTGGACCATCAAAGTTGAAAATCTTCCTACCATTCATACAAAGATAGTATGCTCGATGCTCAATGTCCCAAAAATAGCTCATGTTTGTGAAAGCCCGTTGTGAGAACTCTTGAGCGGTACTTAGTGATTTATATATGAGATTTTTCACACCAATTTTGAAATGCTTTAAAAAATTTGCAATCATGGATAGATAGCATAAAGAAGTATCTTTGTTGCAAGATCGGACAGAAAACATGTGATCAACAAATTAGTGTGGCCAATTGATTTTGACCTTGTGCAGCAAGACGTACACAAGATGAATTTCAGCAAAATCAAATCTTTAGAATCCACCATTCTTAGGACGCAAGACATGAGACACAATCCACAGCAAAATTCGAGGCAACATCTTGAATTGACTCGTGGTAATAGGATCATAGCAGTTTGCAGCACGAGGAACCTTAAGCATCTCATTCAAGTGAACACTCCAATTAAAATATTTATGCTTGTCTGAGTCGGTAACCACTTCATCAGTCACTTCTTCATCAAATTCTTCATCAATGTCTGGATCACTAACTGTAATACCAACCAAGGTACTCCACATTTCATTTATGAAATGATACACTTTATCACCCATGGAAAATCTAAAGCTTGCACCATCATGTTTGTGTAGCCCGGAGTATAATACGCGAATGAGATCCTCGTTGTAATCTTGAGCCAACTGAAGAAAATAATCTATCTTTTGATGCTTAACACGAGTCATAACTTCGGGTGCGGCTAAACCTTCAATCGTCTTCTTCTTCCATATGTATTGCCTAACGACTAGGCAAGTCACAAGCTTTCACTTAAAATCCTTCTCATATTTCTTTGAAATCAAAGAGAATAGATTCTCAGAGGCAAGAGTGGATGAGGCGGCATTGCATTTTCCTTTGGATGCATTCTTTGACTTATAGGCCATTGGATTTGTGAGATACAACTTGCACACAAGGTGTTCGTGAAAATGTTTGAATGAAACTTGTGAAATAATGAGTGACACAACAACACCCACACACTCAAATGGAAGTAACAACAACAGATTAGCACAAATATGCAACTACAGATTACTAAAATCCGAGTTGCCTAAGGTACCTAAATTATCTAATCCAGAAATTCCTAAAGTATATGAGTTACAAAACCCAAGTTTTCTAAGGTTCCTAAATTACCTAAGGCGGAAGTTCCTAAAGTATCCGAGTTACCAAACCCAAATTTCCTAAGGTTTCTGAATTATCTAAGGCGGAAATTCTTAAAACATCTGAGTTACCAAAACTCGAGCTACCTAAGATTCCTGAATTACCTAAGCCAGAAATTTATATAGTACCTAGGTTACAAAAGTCCATGTTGCCTAATGTTCCTGAATTTCCTAAGCTAAAAATTCTTAAAGTACCTAAGCTGCTTAAGTTAGAGTTGAATGCTCTTGAATTGAAAAAATTTGAACTAGTTAAAATCCCTAATTTGTCAAAGACTAAGCTACCTAAAGTTGATGTTCCAAAATTACCCAAACCCGAACTTGCAAAGCTACCTGAATTGTCAAAGCCTAAATTAAATTTAATGTATCTGAATTGCCAAAAACCGAGCTCCCTAAAATTGTTGTTCCAAAATTACTTAAACTCAAACTGTCAAAGCTACATAAATTGCCAAAGCTTGAATTATCTAAATTTAATGTATCAAAAAAGCGAGCTACCTAAAATTCCAAATTTGCCTAAAATTTCTGAATTTCCTAAACCGAATAAGGTCAATATTCCAGAACTCCCCAATCTGAGCAACCTAAATTTAATGTTCCAACCACTACTCCATAAGTTTGAATTCTTTCATTTGTGTTGTCTCAAATCATTTATAGTTTTCTAACATATATTGTCTAGCTCATACTGTATGATGGGTGTTATATGATTTATACAATTTATAATTCAATCGTTCATAGTTTTCTACTATATATTGTCTAGTTCATACTGTATGATGGGTGTAATATGATTCATACAATTTATAATTCAGTCTTATATGTATAGACTACAGTCATAGTGCAGTGATTGTTATGGTTCAGTTTTAACCATATTAGATTACACATTACTTAGTTTAAGCTTACTGCTTATTGATGGTCATATCCTTCATTTCAGGATTTTCAAATTCTAACGTTGTTTAAGCTAATATTTTAATTAGTTTTATTCATTGAATTTAAAAGACAATCAGCTTCCTAGTTTCTTACACATGAAAGTAAAATTTTGCTGGTTGGTTTGAATAACATAATGTGCCAAAAACTAACTGACGAAGAGTCCAAGATATTCTTCTCCTAAATTTTGTTAAACTCAATCAACTTCAACACTATTCTTGTATAATCACATTTTCAATTAGCTCAATGAATTTCTTAAAAGTTAGCATTGAGGAGGGGTTTTTAAATTAGCTTCCAACACGACTCGAAGCATTTATGTTAAAGTAGAAGGTCTCGGGTTTGATCCTAAAAATCAACATAAACACTTCCTGATATTTGCCTAAAAAATAAAGTAATGCAACAATCATACGAAATGTAAACGAATATGGTAAGAAAACATGTACCATTTCATAGCATGACTCACAAGTGAGAAAGAAAACACCGAACCACATGAAAATAAACATAATATATATGTTTCCACACATTTTTACCCCTCCATAAGAGATTTAAAAAGAAAATGACAAGGTGCAAACATAGTATGATAATATAAGAATGAATGCTTTCGCTTTTCCCATAGTTAAAAACCAGCCCAACCAGCAGGTTGAGAATTCGACTTGCTCTCAAAGCCCTTTGCCTCACTAAAAACATGAGCTTTACTCCCTTCACCAGGTCTTGGCATCTGTGGGCTACCACTACCAGGTCGAGCAGCACTAAATGTATCGGTACCGAAACCCCAAGAATCAAAATCAGAAGCTGGTTGAGTGACCAGCTTTTTCTGTTGACCATCTCTTGACCTAACGGATTTAGAAGCATTATCTGCTGAAAGGGACTTCATTGGTGGTTCAGCTTTCTCCGGGAAAGCTAACCATGACTTTAGTTCTGAACTAGGAGTTTTCCATTCACTTCTATCCTGCTGAAGATCCAAAGCGGTTACAATCAGAACGTTAACATATATAATTAACAAGTTATGTCTCACAAACACTAGTTAAACAAATTAATAATGCAAATTAATTGGGATGAAAAAAAGCTACAAAATGCTTATTACCAAAGATGCAGATGATGCAACTCCAGGAGAGGTTCTGAAACTCTCTTTACTTGGAGATGGAGTTCTTGCTGCAAGTGCTTGCTTGAGGTCCTGCAATTCTTGCCTCTGTGAACGGCAGATGGCGGTAAGCTTTTCATACTTTGCAGTTATTTCAGATTTCTCTAAGTTAGCTTCCTTCAGCTGCTCTCTGAGTTTCTCCACCTCAGACTCTAATACTTCTTCCCTTGTGGATTTGTTACCATGCCCAGAGTTCAGCTTAGTGGTATCAAACTCTGCAACAAAAGTATTAAAAGACTGGTCTTGGAAATTATTATTTTTCTCCAGATTTGACATATGCCTCTGACTTGCATGATCTTTATCTGGGAAAAAATTAATTTCGAAGTCCTTGGAAGATGCAACTTCGGGCTTGTGCAACTTTCCATGCACACTGCTTTTTGCAGTCTGAGTTTGTGTGTTGGCCACTTTGTTTGTACCAACATTTTTGGGTAACTGATCATTGTCAGGACGAATTCTGTCATGTTTCAGTGACACATGGTGGCTAGATCGATCTTCATCATATATAGCTTTGCCCTTTTCCTCAGGGACAAGTGAATCCTTTGCATGCAGAGTGGACCAGAAAGCACCAAGCTGCCCCCCACTTTCGCCTCCCCTGGAAGGAAGAGATGGCTGAGGCGTAGTTTTAGGTTCTCCAACTGATGGAGGAGAAGGTGGATTTCTGCGAGGCATTGGACTTGATTTGTTAGTGGACATTGAAGCACCTGCAAAAAAATTTATACAAATCAATATTTCTGTATGATATCAGGTTAAAATAAAATATACAAATCCAATCTTCTACCAAGAGTTTTTTTGCCCCTAATTCACGTCAAGGGTAAAATTTAATGATATAAGCCAGAAAACATGAAAATAGACTTTCTCATCTTATTCAAGTCATGCCTCACCTTCATGATTGTTGGAAGAGGGCGATTCAGGTGGCCTGTCAGGTAATGACTTTTGTAACTCAACAGGTAGCTTTTCATTAACACGAAACCAAACCTGCCACATTGAAAGTATACCCAAAATCAGTGATTGATTGGTCTAATTCTAATGCCTAAGAATGCTATGGACGGATGATCTATGACCAACCTAAATTGATGGAGATGAATGGCCAATCGAGCAAAGCGCTTGCCTGCGTGATATCTGGTCTGTCGTCTGGTCTAGCTTGAAGCATGTCTCTGATCAAGTCTGTGAGGGACGCGCTGAATTTAGGTAAATCAGGAATGCGGTAGTTTCCATTTAAGACTTGGAGCTTTGATTCCCCATCAAATGCACTTTTGAAGTAGCATATGCGAAAAAGGAGACATCCCAGTGCCTAACATATTCAAGCAGTAATATGATTTGTCAGTTAACAGAGAAAGATTCCACAAAAGTAGTTAAACTAAAGATATGAGTTTTAGGTATATATGACTTACCCATATGTCTACTTTCTCATTAATGACTTCTCTGAGAAACAGGTCCCACATCTAAATGCACACAACCAAAATTTGTGATCATCGGTAATTGTATCACACATAACTACCAAAATAATTTTTATGGGCACAAATCTCGACATACCTCGGGAGCTCTGTAGGCGGGAGTTGTGTACTTTCTGATATTATCTTCCTCAATTCCCATTTCTTCTGGCTTCTCAAAACGTTTGTGATTTGTGGAAATGCTTCCAAAATCACACAATTTCCATAAACCATCTGGACCTAACAGAAGATTCTCTGCTTTCAAGTCTCTAAGGAACAAAAAGAAGAAAATGAATTTATTAATGTTTCTAAAAGTCCTGTATAAACTCGCATTATATTTGTCAAACTTTTTGAACAATGTCACTCAAAAAGAAAGAGAGAATTCATAGATTTTGACCCTCATGATATTTATTATCTAGTATTGTTATTTTAATTACCGGTGAGCAATAGGCGGGGACTGGCAGTGCATGGCAAAAACAGCATTACACACATCTCTGAATATCAAAAGAATCTGTCTCTCATCAAAATAACCAGCTCCACGGCTCTCCAGCACAGTAACCAGAGATTTCTCACAGAATTCCATTACAATGAATGCCTCTTTGGTTCTACCCATATCATAGATGGCATGAGCATGAAGTTTGACGACATTGGGATGTCCAATCAGCAACTTCATCACAGATATCTCCTTCTTCACCAATCCAAGAGATTCTTCATCATTGCATATTATGTGCTTCAAAGCATACTGTTTAGACATATGTACAGAATCGCGAGCCAAGTAGACACATGAGAACCCTCCTTCAGCAATGACCTTGTGGACATTTATTTTAAGATTTCCAACATCTATAGAACGGCCTTCAATACCACTTTGCTCTTTGTGGCTGAATGGCTTAAATTTCCACATCTTTTAGGAAAAAGATAGACTAGGTTTCTGCATATGTAAATTAAAATATAAGACTTAACCTCCTCATAAAAATTAGCAGAATTTCTAACAAGAGAATAGCATTTCTTTTTTGTGCACATAACATCAAATAACTTTAACAACAAGCATATGATAATGTCTATTTACATGGAAATGGATTCCCTGCAGTAAGCAGTCAGACACTGCAGCTACAATTTGTGTATCCACTGAATTGGATTAGCTAGCTGACTGCAATGACAAGAGAAAATCCTGAACCATTTACATGCTTCTAAATGTACTATTTGATCCCATTCTCCACATTAATTGATCTACATTGTCAACTCTTAATAAACAAAAAAGGAAGCAGCACTAAACTTCCAAACAATGAATGACCTAAAATAACAAAAATGAAACTCAAGCAAGAAACCATTTCACATCAGAAGCAATACCCATTTCCAAGCTCTTTTTTGTACATAAAACAATAGTTTATTTTGATACCCTACAACAACAACAACAACAACAACACCTACAACTAAGCCTTATCCCACTAAGTTGGATCAGCTCCATGGATCTACTTCCGCCATAATGTTCTATCCAGGACCATGCTTTTATCCAAATTGTTAATCTCAAGATCTTTCTTAATAACTCATGTTATAGTTTTCCTAGGTCTTCCTATATCTCTATCTCTAGCTATTTGACTCCTCCCCACCCGATCTACTCTCCACACCACAAAATTTACAAGTCTTCTCTCTACAGGCCCTATCCGTGTAAATTTTTATCATTTACAACAACCAATCATATGAATTACTTCATAAATAATTATGATCAAACTGAAACTTTTTCAATGATCATATTATTGAGATTGATTGACAAACTAAAAAATATTCATAGTAACAATGAATCCTAAAACAATATAGATATACAAAAATAATCAAGTTTCCCTAGATCATCAACATGAACATAACAAAGCCATATAAGTTATAACAACAGAAAACAACATTGATTTACCAAATAAATAACCATCAAAGTAGATCCAATAATACAAAAAACGCAGAGTCATCATTAATTTTCCAACCACCGCTCATATATTCAAATCCAAATGATCCAATAACAACAAAAAACGGTAATCAACATCACATAAAAAAAAACTTACCTAGAAAATCGTTCAATCCAAAATTCAGCTCAAACCGAATGAAACACGCTCTCGATTACTCGATCTGTGGGACTAGAAAAAAAGCAAAACTCAAATCCACAAACAAAAACAAAAAATCAATAGAAAAAATCGAATTCACGATTTAAATCTAAAACACTACAAATAATTTTACAAATTAAAAAAAAAATCAAGAAATTAATCAAGGTTCTACCTGTTAACACTGGATTGAATGATCGGGAAGTTGACTGAAGAGTTCGAATCGAAACTAACAGTGCGCCATTGACGAATCCAGCTTCTGGTTCTACTATTTCAGATCGAGCTTCTGGTTCTATGAAAGGAAACGCGTGAAAGGGTATATATGAAGCTCGTGTATTAGCCAAAGAGAAGAAGATTGAGATTGGAGATTATCTGGACCGTGTAAATTTAATAATACGTATGATATTTAAACGGACGGTGATGGATGGAGTGTTACTGTGAGCGTGACTGCACAGAATAATATTATTAGAGAGTGAAATGGACCCATAACCAGGGACGGCAAAGAGTAAAGCAACCGGATTTGGGTTGTATGCGGTCATGATCATATGACTACATGTAATCGAACACACGCTAGTCGTCTGATTTAGATCGGATGATTTTATTTTTTAAAGTTTTAAATTCTACAGTTCCAAGTTCAATAACACAATTTTTGAGACAAATTTCTTTTCTATTTTTTTGAGAAGTATAAGACACTACTATTTACCTTTTGGTAAATAAAAAATTAATAAAAAACGCTATCTACTTTTTCATATATTAACTTTGATTAGCATTAATAATTTATTTGTTTATATATTAGCAAACTATCTTACTTTGGTCCAATTAAAATATTACCCTTTTTTAACTTTAGTTAACAGAGAATTTTACTTACACATTAAGTAATGAAGGGTTGCATAGTTAAATTGTATTCTTTATATTGATTACTTTTATATTTTTTTATAATATTTTATAGTTAAATTGTATTCTTTATATTGATTACTTTTATAAAAAAAAATTATAATATTTTATTAATTAATAGGTTAAATTATAATTCAATTTTATCTAATTCACGAATATAATCCTTTTATTTTAAATTCAATCAATTTTATCAATTTCTCACATATATTTGTTTCTTAATTTATATATTTATTTATAAAGTTTAGTATATATTTATTGTTCTGCTCTGGGTCCCGGCTTGAACGGGCAGACTCAGCCCAATAATATTCTGTCAAGTCCAATCCAGTTTGGGCCACGGCCGTCGAGCACAGAGTCCCCGGCGGGCAGGTAAAGTCCCTCCGCGGGTAGAACCTACTTCCCTGTTGGGCAGGGCAACGTGTCTTTCGCACGTTCTCCACGTGCTCCCCTCCGCGGGGAGCACGTCGCCAACCAACTGCCCACCTTCAAAAGAGCAGGTCAAACCCACCTTCAAGAGATCACGGGACAGTTGAACTAGGGCGAAGATCACGTCCTGGTCTTCACTACGCCACGTAAGCCCTTGCAGTCACTTGGGTTGGGCCTAGCAATGCAGTCCAACACAAGTGACTGTTGGCCCAGTGTTAGGGTCTCTCTATAAATACCCTCTTTCACAAGAGGGTCAGGTAATCAATTCTTACCTCTTTTTCTATGCTTGTGACCACTCTGCACATACACTTACTTTGACATCGGAGCGCTTGCAGGTACACTCTCTTCCCTTCTTCAACACTGGTGAACACCGGTGAACAGGCAGTAAGTCAAAGACGCGTGGCAGCCAGTGATCCCCTTCTGATCAGGTCAGATCATTTATATATAATAATTTTTTATTATATTTTATAAGAAATTTAAATGTCATGTATTTTAATTACAAAAATATGTGAGAGTTAAAAACGATTTGAATTTAAAATAAATGATTAAAACAGTCTTATAAATTAATTAAAATAGTTGATCGGTTTTAGATAAAGCAGAAGATAAAATTATAACTAAAATTTAAATAGAACGCATTAAATTATATTGGTCCTGCTTATAAAAAAAATTTAGACAGTCCTAAGTAAATGTGCTACGCTATAAACTTTAAAAAAATAATTCTAAAAATTTCAATGAGTATGAAATAATATTAAAAACAATATTATAAAATATATTGCTATTAAGAGAATCCATGTCGGCTGGTGGGGATGGAGTTGAGTAAACGTGAAGGCTACTTTCAGATTGCAAGACTGGGTTAGTTACAACTTACAAATGATTAAAGGATTCTACCATAGCGATAATTGGAATAATAGTGGTGGGATGTCATTTGCATTATGCATTCTATTTTTATAATACAATATTGCATATAAATTGCAAGAATGAAGTTCAATTCAATTTTAATTAATTTTGATGATAATAAAAAATATAAGAACAGTTTTGTTGATATAAGAGCAACTTTAACGCAGAGTTATTAAACCAAAATTCTTTATAGCTTGCGTTAGTAATAAAGAATTTGCATTATAGGAGAGCTGACCTGACATCCAAATGAACTAAAATTTAGTTTCCATTATCTATATAGTTAACATTAACTATGTGAAACCTATTATAATATTATTTAATATTAATAAAATATTCCAAATATTCCAACAACATTAAAATAAGGATATGATATTTGAAAATAGTAACGATCATATTATCAGAAATTTTAATTTTTTTTACACACAGTTTTACTTCTAAATTTTTTTCTTTCAATTTTCAATCTTATTTATTTATCAAATGAATCTCAACCAATCGAATCCTTATTATAATTATATTCCTATGAAAATGTAATTTTTTTTATGTATTATTGTTGTGAATTTTGTATCATTTTTAATTTTATAATAAAATATATTTAATATTATTTTTAAGTTTTTAAGGTAAATTTTATTTAAAAAATTATATGTATTTTAATTAAAATAATTAAATTAATGGTAACTTGAATAAAAAATATAAAATGTGGGATCAAATTTTGGTTTCTTATAGACAATCACCATTAAAGTAAAAACTACTCAAATCAATTATAAATTTTTTAAATCCTACAAATCACTTTGGGCCCACAAAAAGTATCTTAGTTTATCCATTTAGTTTACTCCCACTAAATATGCTCTAAGTGATGTTTAAATGTGCATATATAAGGATTTTACCATAGTGATATTGGGACAATAGTGGTGGGATGTCATTTGCATTATGCGTTATATTTTTATAATAAAATATTTCATATAAATGGCAAGAATCAAGTTTAATTCAATTTTAATTAATTTTGATGATAATAAAAAATATAAAAACAGTTTTGTTGAACCCGTGTTCAATATGCCCGAAGAGCCTAACAAAAGGGTCGTTTTTAGAAATACCAACAACAACAACAAGAGTGTCCGACCAGTGTTCCGTGACGATGTGCCACCAAAATTTGGGAGGGATCAACCCAGATTTGAACCAAGAAGAGGATCTAGACCTCACCCCAGGGCCATAACACCAAGAGAAGATCATTCGTGGTGTGAAGAAATTTTCAAGGAAAGAAAACCAGTAAATATAGCCAATATCGCCAGTGGAAGTAAAATGACCCGAAGCGGTCGCGTGTATCAACCACGAGCGAATAATGCGGTTCCTCCACCAACGGTTCCCACTCCAAAAGTTGTTGCCCCTAAAGGATCCATTCCAGAGGAAGCTGTCATTAAAGAGCCTATTGTCAAAGGAAAAGAGAACCTCAAAAATGATGAAGAAGAATTTATGCGGATTATTCGTCGAAGTGACTACCGAGTGGTAGATCAGCTAAACCAGACGCCATCCAAAATCTCAGTCATGTCATTACTATTGAGTTCTCCGGCACATCGCCAAGCATTGCTAAAGATCCTAACGCAAG